ACAGACTGCCAATGAACCTCCGTTGCAGTGAAACTACAACCCGGTTCAGAAGTCTCCTTGATGATTTTCTTTCCAAAAGTGGGTTGTGTCAACTATTCAATGTAAATTTATTTAATAATGATTTATACCAATAAGGTTCGTCATCCATCTAATTGACTGAGAAGCAAAATGTAACCTTGGGAACTTTGGAAGTCTATTTTACTTTATTTTCTTTCTGTTCATCTTAATATATGAAGTCTGCTTATGTTCGCATCTATAATTATTACTGTTATTAATATCATTATTGGTCCCTCGACACATAAGATATTCTTTCCATCTCTTCTTATCCTTCTAAACATGTATTATTCCTAAACATCCAAAGACTATAACTAAAAACAAATTATCGCACGGTACACTTAAGTAGATTAACTTCTCAGATTCATTTTATCATCACCACATAAATATAACACATAGAAATTTATATTTGATTGTCCTCTGAAATTAATTGTGACTTTCATAGCATTATTCTTAATTATTATTGCACAAATGTTTATACTGATATCTGGTTTCAATTTGTATACTATTACATAAATCCACATGTAATTATCCGAGTGCACTAAAGGATTTATTTTATTTTTCTAACTTGTTAGTTTGCTTCAGAGGTTGATATTCATTACACAATTATTATTATTATTATTATTATTATTATTATTATTACAACTGAACCTTTTCACTAGGTGTCCACTTCTTTTCTCTCTCCTTTTTCTTTCTAAATAAATATTATTCTCAAGAATACGAAGTCTGCCATTAAGACAATAACTTGTTTTACATTTAAATTAACTTCTTAGACTCGTTTTATGTTCAGTATGCATATATGACTCGCGCATATTGATATTTCGTTATCCTTTTTACTTAATTGAGACTTTCATAGCATCACTCCAAACTATGACTGCACAAACATTTATTCTAGCGTCATATCTTACTGCCATAATAAGTTATTTTTTCTCGATTATTTTTTATTTTATTTTTTTAACTAATTTGACGATACGTACATTTTTTTTCTTGTTCCGTGTTCACAAACACATTTATCAAACCATTTGCATATTTCACGTCTTCTTTAGTTCTATTCACTTATTTTCTTCTTTCCTTTCTTTAAAATCAGGTCTCTTTAAACCTGGGAATCTGTAAAAAGTGGAGTTCTTCAAGAAACTGTTCTCGGCCCTCTTTTATCAACCTTACGCAAATGACTTGCCAATCGTAGCAAATCATTTGTCCTACTCCTTGCAGATGATACAAAGATTTGGGGACCCATAAATGGTGTCAGATAGATTAATATTACAGGAAGAGCTAAATTCATTGGTTGAATGGATTAATAAGTGGCCATTATAAGTTAACTATAACAAGAGTATGGTGATGCAAATAAGTAACTATGATGTTGTGTTACTTAAATTAATGGACTATAAAGACCTAGGAGTCGTAATAAGCAACGACTTCGAAACCACGAGTAATTCCACGTCTGTCGTTTCCAGGGTCTTATGGGTTGTTCTTAAATCATTTCATTACATGGACGTGTTGGGGTGATCCAGAAATCACTTGCAAAAGACAAGCAAGCATCAAGAAACATTAAGAAGTGTTTCGTCCAATCAGTGTTCATTTGGAGTCTTGGCCAGAAATATCAAGGTAGTGAAACGTCACATGCGGAAGCTCTGATTGGTTGGCTGCTACAGTGCTACTATGTTTGGTAGCATTCCAGAATATTCCAGCGACCCAATGATATTTAGATATATTATAAAAACTCCATATTTTCTGTAATAAAGGGAACCTCGGAGTAAAGTATTTTCCCCCATACTTGCGTCTTCTCACTGGTGTTCAAGTCTCTGTGCAGTTCTAGCTTTCGGGGTACCAGAATAGCTTAGGAAACTAATATAGCGTTCAATCGATAAGACATATTGCTTGCCGTCTATGATCTGTAGCCTAGGTACAGTTAGTGTTACAATTCTGGAAATCGCGCACTCTAATTAGAATGACAGTGGTATTTTTCCTTGCTGAGCAAATTCTATTGTTTTAATCGTTTATTACGTATCAAGACTACTGCTTTCATTTTAATTGGATTTATTTCAGTTAAAGTATTCGACTAGAGTATCGTTTCTGTCGTCGGTACTTTTGAGTACTTTGTTTTCTATTGTATCTGTTAGTACGTTTGGTTCTAACAATTTACAGTTTTCCACTTTTTATGGTCATAGATCGTTTTTGTCTGAGTATTGTTGCATCTAGTTCTTTTTCTAAAAAAAGACCCATGTCTAATGACTGGAGTAGCTCTATTCATTAGGAATGCTATCTCATTTGCTATTATCGACAATGTATCCCATGAGAGTGGGACGCGTGAATTTGTTAGTTGCCTCTTGAAATGCAAGGGACAAGAGCTGCTGATTGGTTTGGTCTGTCGCAGTCGAAGCTGTGAGGTGAATGAGGTCCTGCTAAGCAGTCTCAATACCTGGTCACAAAGTGATCGATGTCTGACCATAAGAGACTTTAATGCACCTATGGTAGACTGGGAAAATTTGCGAACTGAATCGTCAAAAAATTTCTTCCAGCAGGAACTAGTTGATGTGGTTGTCTAATGTGCCCTAGTGCAACGTGCGAAAGAGTCAGTTAGTCAATAACAACATAACATATGTCCCAACTTCATTAGTCATGAAGATTCATACTCATCAATTGATTTATCATCGTTGTTTGATATCTCAGTTCTAACCTCACTATTGGTCACTCAGTCTTTGTACAATACGCTAGCAATGTTTCAAAGATGCCTCTTACCTAAAGTTCGTAACCTACGCCAGTTCTCTGCTTTCATGAACTATGTTTTACAGTCGTAAACTGATAGGAAGAGAAACGCTACACACTGTACTCGCCCTTCAGTCAGTCAGTTAACAACATAGAACTTTGTACGTACGTACATCAGTTCGAGTTGCCATACCACATTAGCACAGAGATGCAGTGGTCGATTCAAATTCCGTAGTGGTAGAGGTAGTAAGAGTATAAGCAGTAATCGGAAACATTGGGGTTTGAAGATGTTATTCAAGGAGTATAATACAGTGAAATAAGTTTAGAAAGAGGAAAACAGGAACGCAAAGAATTCACATGTGAAAGAAGCAACTAGGTTCGACCCGGACTCTGAATCATCCTTACTAGATCCTATATTGACTCACTATGAGGATGACGTCGCGAACCTTGATCACATGCCACCTCTATGTAAAATTGATCACGCAGTTTTAGCTTTTGACTTCCATATAACTGTCAATCACGAGCACGCGTTAGTCGCCGCACCCCACATCCCTTGGGCTATACCGAGAGGACCGAGAAACTCTTCACCATGGTTCAGTAGGGATGTCCCCATCCTTCTCCGTAAGAGAAGAAAAATGTGGAATAGGTTTAGGTTACTGAGGACTGATGAGACAAAATCTCAGTATCAAAGATCTCGGAATACCCGTGCCTCGACCCTCCGTAAGTCTAGAAAGTTGTACGAAGAAAAAATTGTTAAGGAATCTATGGAATGTCCTAAACGCTTGTATTCCTATATAAACCAAAGGATAAAAAGAAGGGGAAATATTCCTGCACTATGGGGAGACAGTACTCCCACATCATTAATGGATGGAAGAACGCCATAGTAAGTCCTGCCTTCAAAACAGGTTCGAAACATAAGCCTGAGAATTACCGACTTGTTAGCCTAACTAATGTAGTTGTTAAAACCTTAGAAAAGATTACTCGCAAGGTGTTTAAGTACCTCAATGAAAACCGGATCCGTTCGGAGAAGCAGCATGGTTTAAGAATAGGTTATTCTTATCTCACTAACTAATTAGTGGCTCGTGAAAGCTGATGCGTTCTTAAGGACCAAAAGCTACCTGTAGACGTAGCCTTCACTGATATCAGCAAAGCTTTCGACGAAGTTCCGCACAACCGGCTGTTATATAAGCTAATAAATGTCGGAATTGGAGGCAATCTATTAATGTGGATAAAAGACGTCCTAGTTGGGTGCCAACAAAGAGTACAGGTGCACTCAAAGTTATCTAGCTGGGAAACTGTGCTTGGTGGGGTGCCTCGGGGTACAGTCTTGGGACCAGTGTTATTCCTCTTATTTGTGAATGACCTTCCTCGTCTCCTATCATCATCGGTCCTGCAATATGCTGACGATGTCAAGATATGGAGGACGATACGATGTAAGGGTGATAGCTTAGAACTCCAAAATGAAATGAAGAAATTATCTGAGTGATCTAAAACCTGGCATTTACCGACAAATACTTCCAAGTGTGTTACGATGCATATCGGTCATCAAGGTACAGATACATACACGATGAATAACACTGAGCTACCTGTTGTCCAGACACGTGATGGCTCAGTAGTCATCGTTGGCTAGGACTTAAAGACTACTGCACACTGCCGTGCAATAGCCGCCAGAGGTTTTAGAACGTTATGGTCAATAAGTAGGGCTTTTAGTCATGTCGACACTTAGGCGTGTTTGACTTTGTACACAGTGTTCGTACGTCCTAAACTTGTGTACTGCATACAAGCGGCTAACCCCTGCTTAAGAAAAGACAGTGAATTTTTGTAAAAAGTTCAGAGGGCAGTAACTAAGCTGATTTACGGAATAGCAAAGCTCCCGTATGATGCTCGACTAGCTAAGTTAAACCTATTCCTTTTGTCATATTGAGGAATTAGAGGTGACTTGATTACAGTTTTCAAATTGCTTAGTGATAAATTTGCGCCTGATATTCCCTCATTTTTCCTGTTTTACAAAGCAGAGAATTTACGAGGACACTCCAAAATGTTCACAAACCAGGACAAATTACTTGTCAGTTGACCATCGACTTTCCCTTCGAATCATCAATGAGTGTAATTCATTACCTCAGCACGTGATTCGAGGCTCCACTCGTCGACTCTTTCAAAAGAAAGTCGGATCAAGTGAGAGACCATCATTTCCAGGACCAACACAGGCCATCAAGCCTCCTGTCGTTTCCAAACTGAAACTGAACTTAGGATTTGGTTGCGCGGTTTATTTTTTTAAGTCGGTACTTTTCGGCGTGCTTTTGGTATTCGGAAATAATATGTCTAGCACTTAAGAAAGCGTAAAGAACTGTAAGTTATATTATATTAATCTAGTACTACATTTCACTAGATTTTGAAGCTTCCACTGTCCTTGGGCAATTATAACTAACACAGGGGATAGCCCCTCTGATAGCAGTAAACGGACCGACTGAAGACATTTTATCTGTTTGTAAGTGTTTACATAGGTCTTCAAAAAGAAGTGAACTGTTGTCATCCATTCATGTTAATTTACATCAAGTAAATAAACGAATAGGCCTTAAGATAGTTGTCTGGAAAAACTGTATAAATACAATTCCACTCAAAAATTTTTGTGAAAGGACTACTTGATTAAAATGGTTAGAACACTAGCGAATTCAGCCTGCATGATTCTTGGTTTTTGTTGCACTGGCGTTTGTGTGTATGTAGCTATTGTTTGTATACAGCATGTTAATATGTGCCAAGTTAGTTTAATCGGTATTCCCAGCTGTGGGTGAAACTCTAATTTATGGACGACCTTTGAACGAATTTTTAAGTGACCTTGAGTACATTAGCCAATGAGAAGAGAGTTAGTATAAAGTAAAAATATATTATAAAAGAGTGATGAATTACAATGGATATTCTTCTTTTACATTATTTGAGAACTTGTTGAGGTTTCATATAGGTTCAGAAGTTTCGAAATCATAGTGCATGCGGCATAAGAACTCGTCCGTATGACTATAATAAGCGTCATCTGAAGCCGTGGTAGGGTTTTAAAGAATACTTTAGCCTAGACCACATGCCCTCAATGTTGTTTGTATGGACCTCCCGTCGTTGGATCAAAGAAATGACGTTTATACACCACTACATGATGCACAAAACCAAGTCTGGATAGGCATCTATACGCTTTCCAAACATCGGTATAGCCGCAGCTAATGTTACTGGAGACTTTATGATCCAATTTGCAACGATTATCATGGTTTGTCGTAGCCTTAGCCGTGACCGGGTAAAAAAGTGCCAGTTCGAGCAGATTTTTTTCTACAACATATAGTACAACGAGATATAATGTCATCGCGGCAGTCTGCACATCGTGCTGCAGTCATTTAATTGCCGCAGTCACAGACACATGAACTTCCTAATAGTCCCATCTGCTGTAGTCTCTCAACGATCACCTATTCTCTAAAATCTGCTGTAAAACGATCGAATGTGAGCATCCCGCACTGAAATTAGCGCCATGACCTTGAAATTCCTTAAACGCTTCTGATTGGCTCGTCCATAAATTAGAGTCCTACCAAATTTCGTTTGCTAACACAAAGCACTATAAGCCTAGTAAAATTTTAAAAAATGCACACGTCATATAAATTGCGTTGTCATATATTTAACCTCTACTATGTCTGGTAACTTCAAGAGTTCAGCTACAAAAATGTCTTGTTACCTCGACTTACAGCTGTTCTCCTAGTACATTGAGAACCTTACCTCAATTCGTGAGGTCACTTCATAACACATCATAAATAAATAACCGCCTACTAAGTGTTTAACTGGTTCATTTCAGAAGTTAACAACGAACTTGTTCTTCAAAGTAGTTGGTACATATATTTACTGTTCACATACAATTTACTGAAAATCCTTTTAATATGTGGATGAATACTCTTGACGCAGTACAAATGTCGTTACTCTGCATAGACATAGTGTGAGGAAACAATATTGTGAGAAATGCATTTCACTTCACGTAATAGTTTCGATCACTACAACTGTAGAGTTTTCTCACTGTCAAGTCATTAAGTACTAGAGCCAGTTATTCATTTGTTGCATAAGCATTTTCGTTGTATAGTGCTATATATCGGACAGTGCGTTGGCTTCATTCTAGATCATAAACAGTTGGAAATGTAATCAGGGTATAAAGTAACTTAATCTACGATTATTCCAGTGAATTTAAATAAAAATCAGAGGGCTTGTGATCAAATCTTCAGTGTCTACGGATTTGTTTGCAATAAGGCATGATTTGGTTCTCTTTTATGCACTTTTTGGCTTCGCAGTAGTGTTGTGGTTGTGTATTAAGTAATGTGTTCAACGTATCTAACTATGAATTTGGCGAGACTATAAATTGTGTACTAACCAATCAGGTATAAGAAAACAGGTCTTGGATTTTGGCTCGAAATTCACTCATCCATTTAACTAAATAGAGTCTTAGCATTTAGCTTATGTCAGTTCGTGATGTAAACCATAAATCTAATTCTTAGCCTTAACCATCTAATTCCTCACACAGGTTTATAACACTCATTCGGTCCCAAACATTAGGTGGACACTCTCAAGGTCAGTTTAGCGTCGCACAAAGTTCGCCCATATATTATAGTCTCATCATGAATTCTTGTCTGCTTATTAATGACTTGTTTATTCAAAAACTACTAGCAAACCAAACGTTTCATTTTTACAACTGTATATCATAAATACGTTACTTTCATGTTCCAAGCTGCTAGTTACTGCTAGATAAAAATTCATGTAGACGGATTTGGAATAAAATAAATAAAAGCCTATATAGTTGTGAGATCCTCGTTGTCTTTAACGATAACGTATCCGTGCCTTTAACGAGACTGATCTCGTACCACATCGCTACAGACAAATTTAGTTTCGTATTCAAAAACTGTTTGATCAGCATTCACATCCGATAGTGCTTTTCAGGGATCGATCTATCAGGAAATGTATGCAGATGATATAGTTCTATTAGTTGGGGACCCTTATATAAACTGGTCTTCTTATCACCTAGGGGAACAACACAAACAGGCTTGAGGTTTGTTTCTCTCTTTCTAAATAAAACATGTTGCTTAAGAAGTTGCCTGCGACAGTGCTTAGACTTATGATAGGGATCAGAGTATTTGAGTATATTAATCAATTGATTTGTATTGCAAGTCTTATCATCCATAGTAGGTTGATGTTTGACGAAACTTTAATCGATTTTTGCCAACCTCTGTCACTTGTGATGTAGAGATGTTCGTCTACCAACTAAAAGACGAGTTTACTGCTCAGTAGTTTGCTCGATTCCACCTTGTGGCTTTGAGACGTGACCTTTAAGAATAAAAGATATTCGTGGATTACTAGCATTAGATCACCAGTGCCTTCAAAGCATCGTTGGGGTACATTGGGACTATGGAGTGAACAGTGTCAAGATTAGCCGCAATGTATTGGGGTAAAAATGAGAAATTGATGGATAAAGTACTTAATCTTATATGCAGAGGTTGTTGAGACATGTATTGCGTCTGATCAACCACTTCCTACCTTGATGTGCTAAGCCTGTTGGTCTAGGTTGGGACAAGACTGGAGATGGCCAAACAAAGATATATAGCTAGCCTATGAAGTCATTGGCTGTTGTATGTAGCAATGCTGGTAATTCCAGGCTACGCGGTTGACGTATGCGTTATTATCGTAACCATTTCTTAGAAACTTTGGAAGACATGACTCAGAATCTGTCACAATGGCCCAGATATATTCACTTTTTCTTCCCTCAGCTTCTGAGTTTTAAATGACTCGTCAGCTTTTCGTTCCACGAATTGATTGTTTTCAAATAACATCGTTTATGTCTAGCTTTTTTCTAATACTGTCTCTGGTACTACTGCTGTGCCAAGACTTGTCTTGATAAACTCACCTAACAGTGCTAATATGGGGTGGCTAATTTAGTCGATGCACATATGTGGCAGGTTTTTCGCTGCGTGTGACTGATTTACTAATTCCATTCAGGAGAACGATGTAATCTGAATATTCCAAGTTATTCATAGTGTGTCTTTCTATAAAACTTAAGATGTATCAAACGTTTTACACATAGTCGTTTTTTAATAAAATGTCAGCGAATCGCTCCACTAGATAATCAATGTTGGTGTTTAGTTTCAAACTCTTTATCAATAACATGTTCATAAAACTCAAACAGATTTTAAATATTTTCCTCAACTGTTGTAATCTTATTTTGTCAAACATTAATTACTAAAGCTGTTATTTTAGATTTGATCTACTCATGGACTCCAAGCGCCCTAAATTATGTTCTCTGGAAACTGATAATGCTGACAATGAAGTGGATATCCTTCAACCCAGAGAAGTTGGAATCACTACGTTCGTACAACCTTTAGTTCAAGGTTTTGACGCAACGTTGAAAAATAGGTATGTTTGATTTTAAACACTACATATATTCATACAGATGGGAAGACTTCATTGTCCGTGAATTTAGAGGTCAAAATTATGCAAAGCTTACTGATTTAGCACCAATTCCGGATCCTACTCCTGAAGTAACCTTTAGAAACACTTATTTATATACTAGGCTTATGATTTTAATATGGAAAAGAAACTTGAAGTTCATTTGTCTGGACTTCAAAATTTGAGCCGTGGTGATAGTGAAGTATTAAAAATTAAAGTACCTCAGTTATTTGAGACCATTAAAAAATCAGGCCCCAGATAATAAAACAGACAGAACACAGATCCACCAAGCAATACGTGCATTATTCCCATCACTTGAAAGCACGACATCAAAAGATGGCAATGAAAATATGATTGTTGTACATCGAAAAGACCATCCTGAAGGTTAGTTTCTAAAATCACAATTATTATTGATATTGTTTTCAGCCAAAGGTTCACGACATTCTAAAAGAAAAGCCAATGGTATGTCTAAAAGTGCACCATACTGCCATTTTGTACTTTACAAGGAGGGTAAAGACACACTTAGTGCTATCCAAGTTCTCAGTCGTTTCCTACAGTATGTTTTATCTTATTACTCCCTTTTGATTTTAAAGTGTTGGACCCAGTATATTTTCATTTGCTGGTACGAAAGATCGTCGAGCAATTACCACACAATTTGTTACAGCGAAAGGGTAAAATTTATTCAAATAACCAATTTTCATATAGTATAAATTCGAAAACACTATCATTGCTGAATGCACGGCTTCATGGCTTGCGTTTAGGCAATTTTTCATACGTTTCTTCTCCTCTGTTTCTCGGAGATTTAGATGGAAATCAGTTTGTAGTTGTGCTAAGGTTAGTTTATCAACTTCACAGCAATATTGCTTTTTCGTCTATAGATCGGTGTGTGCACCAAGATCCGTCGTTGAAACTGCAGTCGGGACTTGGAAAAACACTGGTTTTGTGAACTATTACGGTCTTCAAAGATTTGGACATTCTCCCAAATCCAAAAGCTTCGAAATTGGAAAGTATGATAGATCTATTCATTCTGTCTCATAAATATCTATTTGTTAACTTAATTCTATCCAAATTTCTCTGAGACCTAATGTTATTAATCAGCCGTTCAAATATATATATATATATATATATATATATATATATATATATATATATATATAACATCAGAAGTCCACAATTTGAACACCAACATTAGTAGTTGATGGGAAATGGTACAAGATTATTCAACAGTAACTGATAACGTGAACTTTATTGACTTGTTAACTTCCCTGACAGTCCTCGTCTGAATAGCAACCAAAATGACTTAGCCGTTAGTCACGCAATAATTTGTCTTTTTTGTAAACTAAGATGTGAAATAAAAAATCCTCAGTGATTTTAAGATTTTGGACAGTAATCAGTTTTTGTTCTATTATAACCGCAAACTTTTGTCATTTTTAGGGCTATAAGATAGCCACCAAGTTTAATGGCAGTAATTAGCGAAACATTTCGCAATCTCTTATGTTTAATAGATTCGATGAATTGCACTGTTAAGCAATTATTATTTTATGTAATGTTAGTGAATTTCGGGCATAAATATAAAAAGAATGTTTAACTGTTCTTCGACGCATATGAATGGTAGATATCAAGAGATTAAGTAGCAATTATAATTTAACCTACCAGTAATTCAAAATGATGCCGATACAAATATGATGTGAAGAAACTTCTGCTATAATGCACAACGAATATCCATTTTGTGTTTAATAACGGACCCTAAACAGATAGATGGAGTAGCAACGAGATCTCCCCTAGGTCCAATATTCGCCAATATTTTTCTAATCGGACTGAAAAATGGACCACTACATGATAATCATAATGAAGTAGAATGCTACTGCCGTAGATAACAAGCTAATTATATGTGATAAGACGGTCAACTCACGAAAACTGTTAGAAACATTTAATAATGCACACCCTTAGATTAGTTCCACATGTGAAGTGCCATAATTAGATAGAATTTTTTGACATCCTTCTCTCTCAAAGTTTGAATGGTTCGTATTAAAAGGATACAAATTGGTTCAGAGCATGTTCCACTCAGTATTATGTTGGAGCACGCTGGCTGGACCATTTGTAGTCGATCAGCACCACTAGATAAATGGAAAAGACTAGAATATTCTTATGTATCAGTAACAAATATACAAATATACTGTAATTTATCTCCATTAAGTTTGGTTTGCTTTAGAATATTATTACGTTCCTGTCCTAGCTGTGTTTTGATTTCGGGACCAGTTAAGTGGATTAGCGTCTGTACAATACTTGGTAACAGAGGTAACTGAATTGAATAGAGATGACTAACAGTTCGGTGCAAAGAAATGTTTTTAGAAAAAGATCTTGGAACAACATATTCACTTCCACAGCTTCACATCCTTGCATTATAAAATCAATCTATTTAAATCTCGAAGTCGCAAAATTCAAAAACTACTCTGAGGATAATATAAACGAGGAATTAGACAAACTAATGTTGTCGCTACTAAAAAATGGATACTTTAGTAATTTCATAAGGAAATACATTACAGAACCCAAAAGAAAGACATGAACTTCCGAAGTTGAGAAGAAAACTCTACACTTAAAACTTTATTACATAGGTAATATAGCGAGTAAGGTTCTATAAGTTGTTTAAATGCATCTGGTTATTCGATATGTTAGTACCTCCGAATTACACGTAACTTTCCCAACGAAGCCAATATTAACCCAGCAAATTAAGGATACGATACCCGTCTATCAATTTAACTGTCCCTGTGAGGCTAGTAGCATCGGTCCCTAAGGGATCGTAAACACGTACAGTCATGATTAGGAAAAGGCGTTACAAAATTTATTGATAGCATCATTTCTCGCCTAATTGATTATATACGTAGCATCAGGATTGAAAATGCTTTCTCAGTTATACATCAAGTTCCTGGTAATTTATTAAACGGCTCAAAATAATAATTACTCCGTATAGCTGAAGCAATTGGAATCGATTTCAAGAAGCCTAACTTATATGTACAAAAAAGTTCATTCAAACTTGGGCCACATTAGTACTCTTTCATTCTTAGTCCCAATTTTATCCTTTCCCCTTTATCATAGTTTGCACTCTCTCGCAGGACACTTTTTCTCTTCTTTAATTATGCATTCATCTTTATTATTTTACATGATATGCTTATAAATAATTATTCCTATTATTATTATTGTTACAATTCTTATTTATTAGATATCTTATTCGTTCGAAATGGGCGGACGCTATTGACCTTATCTTGAAACCAACTTATGCAGGTAGTGTATGTTATACTTTACATAATATTATGTTAGATTTACCTTTTCTTAGAAAAGTTAAAGAAAAATTCTTACAATCCGGTGATGCAAAGGGTTGTGCTGACGATTGTCCATTGGGTATAGAAAAAACTTTACTGTTAGGTATTGCGAAGTATGGCAAAACTTTGAATGCCATCCAAATGGTATGTCTATGTAGAACACAGTTAAATGATACTTTTTAATCAAACTGTGATCTTTTGTTTATCTATGCTAAATTATAAAATCAATTACCTACTAATCTTATAAACAGTTATTTATGTCCCAGGATATGTGGCTTTTAGTATTAGATTGAGATTCTAATTATTTAAACACTGTCACCACTTTTACCATTAAAATTTATTTCTAGTCTAGATTTTCTAACTACAGATTAACACCGAATGTGTTTATCTCATAATATTAAGAAGTTAGTTCGACGTATAGCCTCCATATAAATTTGTAGTGCAATATAGCACTCATCTAAGTAGTCTCATGCTGAAAGACCTTAAAATACAGCTTTCACACTTTTCTATCGTCCTATAAAAACGGATCAAATTATTTTATGAAGGATCCATAAAATTGTTCTGATGAGGCCACATTTGTGTGCAATTATTTTAGTCCAGTTTGGACTGAAAGATTAAAAAACACAAAACCACAGAATTAAAATCTATTAGGTTTTAATTGCTGTAGGTCTTTGATTCTACATTAAAAACTTTATAACTTGTTTGTTTCCAAAATAACGAAAACCAAATCACTGAAAGGAAATTCTAATGGTTCATTATTTAGCATAATACAGGAAGACTTTTCTATCCGTCAATACCACAAGCAACTAACATTTTGTAGCAAGATTTAGGTTAACTGACAATCTAAATTAAAGTTTTCCATTTATCTGCACTACTTCCTATAACATACTCATTCAGTATAGTAACTGTACTTAAAGTTGTGATTTGTTTAGGTAAACAAGGATTATCTCCACCTAATTCTTCTGTTGTAACCGATTAGTGCCACAACCAGGATATTGCTCAACTCAGAGCTCGTACACCTCTACTTAGCAAATAAGTTACATTTAGTCAATCATGTAATAAGTTTCAGGAAAAGTTGATTCTATTCTATCAATTAGTAGTAATCAGTTAATCTGTTTACTCTATTTTGATTTTTATACTAATAAATGAATTGTTTCTTAATTAGTGTCCATACCGCACAACACTTTAATGACGTTTTAATCTATTAGTCAAAAAAGTTTGTATTAAATTTGCGAAACAAATAAGTTTTTCTTTCTATTTGCATATACGCATATAAAAGGTGCTAAAAATGTAATTGTTGGAGTGGCGATAATAATAGTACACTTTGTTCACAGTATTGTAAACACCAGTTATACTAGACCGTGACCTAGAACTTTTGCCATCTTGATATTTCTTTTTTTGAAACATAACGTAATATCATGGGAAATATTGATCGTACTGAATGGTGTGGTACAAATAATATTACTGTATAAAGATACAAAAACCAGTGTGTAATTTTATAAGTAGGAAGAAGTACAGACAAGGATACATTTCGAAATTCATTATATACTGCTTTACGCAACAGTTTGATTGGAAGTCTTGATTCCTTAAATGCCCTGGTATAGTTGAAAGTGAAGAGAATCCATTCTCCCTCCAGAACACTCTAATGCACCCTTCTATTTAAAGCCTCTACTAGGGACATTCTATTCACTTCGTTCACTAGGAAGGGGTGTTTTTTGCGAAAGCGTAAGGACAAAAAACGAACATTCAGCCCTTCCGTTGCAACCAAGTATCAAACTCATTTTGGTTCAATGATGTCTACCAATCCCCCGATAAGTGTAGGCAAGTGTTGGTTGTGTTTTCATAATCCTCTAAAAATAGCTGACCATATAGCTTGCGGCTTCGCTACACCTAGTCTTCAGAAGGAGGACTCCATTAAGCAAATTGAAAATGACGGTACTGGAAGTCGGTATTGGTTTAAAGTAAGTTGTGATCTTCACAAAGTTGTAAGAAATAGTCATTATCATCTGAAATGCGACCATCGGGTCCTCACTGGTCGCCCAAGCGACTCCCCTCTGTGCCTAGACTCCTGAAGCGTGTAATTAAATCTCCGGCTAGCACTACAAAATCTGTCATATTTGGTGGCACCATTCATTAATCCGATCATTCAACGACTTGAGACCATTTTGACAGGAGATAGCTTTCAATGGAGGCGAGTTGTTGAGTTAGTTAAAAAATAAACACACGTAAAGTGAGGAATACAAAGAGGATGCGGTATAAAGTAAATTTGTGTGTAACCAAACAATTGTGAATACTGATTGCGTGCAGAGCGAGCACATTTTCGTCAATAGTAATCACCATAGCCTTTGTGTAGTATAGTCAAAAGCTTCGTCCATAAATCTGTATCTGACAAATGAGTTATATTATTATTATTAAATCTGATATCTAATTATTAATGCCTATACTATATCTTATTCTGTTTTGATTTAAGGTCTTACATAAAATGTATGGATGAGATCGACAACCTAACTTAATTTATTAAAATCCAATTATTATTGTTGTTAAACTGCATCTTTCATTTTAAAGCCAACTGTAAATAACTTTTAGCATACAGTAATCACATCATTTACGTTCTGTTCTATAATTAGCTTGGCAGAGTTATCCAAAGAATATTGAAATAAACATACTTTGTTGGCTAAGTCATATGGAATACTTTCGGAGACATGGGTTCGTGTACATCTGTGGATTAAAAGACTAAATAATGAATTTAATTTCTATTCTTCATGAATTTTAATCATAAATTACTATACATCTTTCATATATTTATTCTTCCTCGGAAAAATAACCACTTTTAGCTTCCTCGAAACCTTCGCCAACTCTATGTACATAGTTATCAATCTTTCTTATGGAACCATGTGGCAAGTCTACGTATGACTCATCAGAATCCTGGTGACTTTTTCGCTAAGCCTGGTGATCTTTATTATAATGATCAGAATGTAATAACTACAGATAATTATGAAGATGGTATGTTGTTTGTCAACATATAACATATTTATTTTTAGAAGCTATTTATTTAAGGTCAGTGTTCATCATGCATAGATATCAGTTAAGAAATCAATTTTGAAAACCAACTTGCGCATGATAATTATTTAATTTGGTACTTATCTACTATGTATATTACCCACTTTTCCTACAGTTAAACTTTTACTAAAACCTTATTACTATCTACTCAGTCGTTCATTTCTTAAATTCAACCAATCTATTATAGGCGATTATTCGACACCGTCAACAGCGATAAATAATAGATTATATTGATTTCAACCAAAGATATGTACATTGCAATAATAAATGTCTGTCATCCTTATGATGACTTCATACATAAAGAGTGTAGCTCATAATCAACTACCAAATCCAGTAGTTAGTAAATTAGTTGCAATAATAAATTTGTATGCCTCAATAAATTTCTTTTAAATACTAAATAAATCAATATTTGGTACATTTTCATTTTAGATATTAACTTCGAAGAATCTGTGTTAGAAACAGACAACTCTTCAATATCATCGGCGAATTCTCTCCCATCATCTAAATTATCATTCATACATCCACTAGTAGTTGGAGAAAATGAAAAAATCCCTTTAAATTCAGTTGTACTTCCTGTTCCTGGTTACGCTGTACAATATCCTAAAAATAATAGTAAATGAAGTTTTTATCTATTTTTTATATTGTACAACTCTGCATTTACATATTTGCTTGAATATTAGATCTAATATTCCTTTATATCAAGCCCAATACATGATTCGAGTACATGTGACATTAAAAATGAACTACTTACAAAATTTGAGTCTCCTTGATGTGTATATGCTTAAACACATAGTTCTTGTCCTTTGTTGGAGAATAATAAAGATGGCTGTTGTCAAGATTCCTCAAGTAGTTCCTCAGCTTTCTTGACGTGTTCTTTTTTGTCCATAATCACTATGGTGCGTCCTTTGTCCGCTGGAACTATGACAATATCTCTTCTAGTTCTGAGTTGCTCTAAAGCTTTTTGTTCTTGTGGGGTCCTTTGTTTGTTGTCCTTCATCCGTTGAGTTAGCGGTACTTAAGGACAAGAGCACATACAAACTTGTGGAAATAATAGGGAGATTTCAGCATGTAACCTGACATTATTATACTCGCTTTGTAGTTAGCAGTGGAATCCAGGACGTACGTCCTGCCCCATCTAGGACTAGTCATCTGGATGCACCTGTTAATGCTAAGACTCAAGCCCAGTGAAGGACTTTTAGAATACTAACCCGTTATTCTTTAAGCTACTGTATTCAGACAGGCACTAACTTGGTAGACAAGTATAATTTTTATTCGTAAGGGTTTTCGTCATGTTAAAAATAGGTGATACTACGTTACCTTAAATGTAGTTCAATACAAGACCTTTGAGTGAAACGTGATGGAATATGATCAATGTATGACAGACAGTCATAATGATAAAAACATTTCACCAAATAAAGTTCTGTTAGTTTCCGTATTTCTGATTTATCTTTGGTGGTCAATTTATTTCTTTATTTCAATGTCGATTAATGAACCAAGTGAGAGTTATCTGATAAGTTTCTTGTCTCAGTAGCTCATTTTAAAGTGATGTATCCGTCAGGCTAGTAACCGATATAAAAAATAACTTATTTTATACTTACCTACTCAATCGACAACTTCCTCTGAACACGTGATAGCAAATTCAATACCCTCCTCTCGATCCAAACATTTTTTAGACTTAGAAAAGCTTAATTTTGCCTTGGTACTCCTTTCAACTCTTGAATTACATAAAGTAATTCAACTAAAACCTTTATTGCTTTCTCATATAAGTACAAATTCTACACGATCATTATACAATTACTATTTGCTTGTTCACAATAATTGATTTAGGCGCTGATTGGTATACCGAATTACTAAAAGAAGATTGTTTGACAGTCAAAGATTTCAGTCATTCAGTTAAGTAAGTCTAATTCTCTAATATTTTTTTCGTGTAATCCTAATTTTTGTATACTTTTTACACTAGATATTAAATAATAATTATTATCAGTGAGATGTCCTCACAATAACATACTCCTTTCTAATTTCGTATAACCCTTTTTAAGTCATTGTATTTGTAATCTTAAGTTCCACAGATTAAATCTCCGAACTAGACCATTGAAGTGATAACACATAATGAAGATTAAACACACTTACTCAACTATTTATTAAACCAAATGAATATCGTATATATGTGAATCAAAAGTTTTCTACCCACTCAGTTGCAGCAACTATTTTACTCACCTATCATTTATGAGATGGATGAATACCAATGCCATCGTCTCTAATTTCGTCGGAGTGCAAACAATGGGGGGGGGATGTTAGCAACTGTGATGTCTTCGTTTTCCTCTTTTTCCAGCATAACAATAAGCTTTAAATTTTTTATACCATTCATAATTATTCAGTCAAAGCAAATCTAAGACAGGTTTGTTGGACCCAAAGTTTGATCCCCATAATGATTTGCGATTTATTGGCAATGACCGCTCCATCTGTCAATTTTTTTTACTTCCATCTCAATGTACATGTAGAATCTGTATTTTAGCGAAATTTCATTGTTGTTGTAGAGATTTTGCACTCCCTGGTTCTTATCGGAAATTAATTGTTGTCCCGGAAAACGTTAAATACGAATTTCATGAATATTCAAACCCTGATATACCTCTAGTGAAGTCTGATCTTCAGTTACTAAATGGTACAATTACAAGTAGTATTTTAACTCCTGCTTCACAAAATGAGACACAAAATAATGATATCTGCTTAGATAAAGGTAATTAAACCAAATTTCTTTCAATACTTTCATTCGTATGCATTTTATCAGTATCTCATGTTATATGAAATGCCTTTGACTTCCGTCATACTTCGTAGGTTGTTCAAAACCTACTTACTTTACTTTACTTACCTACACACTTTAAAAAGGGTTCACGTCGTTTTTGTAACAACTATCGGGGGGTAAGTCTACTTCCGATTGCGTCCAAGCTATTGGCTTCCGTCATACTTCGCAGGTTGTTCAAAACCCGAGAAAGATTTACTCGAGAGGAGCAGGCTGGTTTCCGTTCTGGTCGAGTATGTATTGATCATATCTTCACCCTCCGCCAAATGTTAGAACACCGTCATACTTATCAAAGGCCAACAATCGTAGTGTTTCTTGACATCAGGGCTGCCTTCCATTCGTTGGATAGGACTATTCTCTGGGATTGTCTATTGAAGAAGGGTGTGCCTGAGAAGTTTATTAACATCCTAAAAGCCCTATATACAAACACCTAAGCGGAGTGAGAGCATACAACCACCTCTCTCCATTGTTCCATTCGAGCAGTGGGGTTAGGCAGGGTTGCGCTATCTCACCATTCCTCTTCAACTTTGCCATCGATGACATTCTGGAAACAGCTCTGATGAATGTAAGTAATGGTGGTGTGGATCTGTTGCCTGGAGAAAGACTTGTCGGCCTTGAATATGCGGATGATATTGTTTTACTGTGTGATAATGCCCAAGCTATGCAATCCGCACTTAATCAGTTGGCAATCGATGTCCGTAGGTACGGTATGTGCTTTGCACCTTCGAAGTGCAAAGTACTTCTACAAGACTGGCAGGATTCTAATCCTTTACTCACTCTGGATGGTGAGCAGATTGAAGTAGCCGAAAAGTTCGTGTATCTAGGTAGCTGCATAAGTGCTGGTGGTGGCGTGAATGATGAGATCAATACACGTATAATGAAAGCCAGAGCGGCTTGTACCAATTTAGGCCATCTTTGGTGCCTTCGTGATGTCAGTCTGGCTGTGAAAGGTCGGATCTACAATGCGTCGATGAGAGCAGTTCTGTTCTATGCTTGTGAAACCTGGCCTCTCCGAGTTGAGGACGTTAGACAACTCCCTGTGTTTGATCATCGTTGTCTCCGAAGGATTGCTGATATCCAGTGGCAATACCATGTCAGTAATGCAGAGGTTTGGCGTCGTGTGTTCGGGCACAGAGACGACAATGCGATTGGTGTCACCATCTTGAAAAATCGACTTCAGTGGCTTGGACATGTCCTACGAATGTCGTCCCAGAGAATTCCACGTCGTGCATTATTTGCCGAGGCTGGGACTGGTTGGAAATAGCGGAGAGCTGGTCAGTGTATAACATGGTGTCGTGGTGTGAAAGAAAGCTGCAAATGTCTGGCTTCTGTCGGCCCTTCACGACTCCCTGGTTGGGGTCCGAGAAATGGTGCAACACAGTGGCTAGAGACATTATCAGATATGGCTCAGGATAGAAGCCAGTGGCGATCCTGCTGTAACCTTCTTTTACTTTCTTCATAAAAAGTGGTTGTATCTTCCTTAACTGGAAGATTTCTTTTGGTTGTATCTTACTGTTTCGCCCATTATTATTATTATCACACTACCTTATACTAATCTGTCCGTTATTGTTCTTTTTTTTATTTTACGCTCCTTACCTTCTTTTTTCTTTCGTCCCATTCTCATTGTTTTGTGTGGCGTATATATACTTGGCGCCCTCTCGTACCAATATTTGTGTTCAAATAAATAATGAAATGTACGCTTAAAAATTTAAAAGATAGTATGTCTCTTTATGCCGACATATTTATTTCATTGTTAATCTTCAGTCATATTGTGCGTAACTGTATCAACGGTGCATTCTGTGCGGCCCCAACTTATAATTTAAAGGTGTTTACTAACGAAGTATTTCGTAGATGAACAAAAGCGAAAATTACAAATAATTGATATGCGGGTTGTGTCGTACTTATCCAGTTTATTTCCACTCTTAGCTGGATGTTTAAAACACAGTAGTACATCTGTAACTGATTTACGCTTATACAACTTTCATGGTTTCGAATCTTACTTCTCCCATTGGGTTTTAGACACCAAAGTGGTGGCACCATTAGCCCTCATTCAATAGATATCGCTCATCTCAAGATTCATTCGCAGACTGTATAATGCTACATTTTAGGTAGTTGAGAATTTGTGTATTATTTCTCTTAATAGTTATTACGCTATTAAAGAATTAAACTATTCAGCGTGAGATAGATCTTACAATGAAATATCCCTTATGTTTACTATTCGCTATTAATGTGCTTGTTAAGCAACTAGTTTTTAGTAAGATTATCCAAATAAATTTGAAAGAGAGGTTTCTTGTCATCAAATGTGTAGTATCACAAAATAAACAATGTGTCTCAGCTTGATAATGCTCCACATTATTCTTTATATTTACCATTATCCATTTAGGAAATTCGTGAAAATGCGCATGATTTACCGTTGGGCTGCAAATTCCAGAAATCTGTTTCATATCCTAGTTAGCAACGAAGATCTAAAAACCTGGAGCTAGGCAGTCTACTTATTCATAACTTACTCGCGCTTAATATAAGTTGATCCATTCTCGAAGCAACATCTAAGGACGACGGCAATTCTTGTAAAAATGTCTCTTAAAGCTGTGTGCAGGTTATTATTAATAACGTTTCTGTAGACATTTTATGTTAATTTTATATCTACGTATAAGAAGTGATGTTCTCACTGTATTCATGAAATCCTATTTATTTTAGATGGAAAACAGCAGGCTATCGTCTTAACGTTCAATTTACCGAAATCCAGTTACGCTACAATGGCAATACGCGAATTAACGAAAACTGTTATAGAGAAGAAATAGCATTTTATGAATATTCCTTTCTGAAACTTGATTACCTGAACCGCATCCCGTTAAATTATGTGTACTTTCCCTTATTGTTAACAGTTCTCAATTAATATGATCTATATATATTCTACTTGGGACAATCATCCAAACAGAATCAGACATAAGTTATTATTCTATTGAAGAAGAGTAGGAATTTTTTATGACATATTGTTTTTTATCTGTGTCTTATTAAGAATTACGTAGTCCTTCGCCTACTGGCCTGAAAACCCAAGACGTGAAAGTAATGATGAAAGCTCACAAGTTGAGTGTCGTGTCGGCGAAACTCTCCATCTACTAAATGCGTGATATACTAATAACTCTCCTGTTTGCACACTAGCTTTGTACTAATTATGAAACTGTTTATGATAAGTCAGCAACAACATGTGGGAGAGAACAAAACTTCCAACTGAATAGGAAATTAGGAAAAGACGCTGGAGGTGGGTAGGACATACATAAACTGCATCACGATACAAGTGCTTACATAGAATCATGAAGAGAAAAAGGCCGAAGAGCACTACGTCGGGAATTGGAAGCAGGCACCAAAAGGATGAATAGCCCAGGACAGAGTTCGATGGAGGATACTGATGTGCGTACTATGTTCCTCCACGAGGGGTAACAAGCGTAAGTTATGAAAATCGGTAGTTAATTTCTGAGGGGAATTTGTGGTGCGAAATACAAGCTTATCTTTTTGGTAATGAAACTTCGTTGAATCAACCTTTATTGTTATGTAGGTACTGCGTTAATAGTTAAACGATGCAGCTCAGAAAGCACAGGTCACCAAAAGCTAGTCTGCGAATCAGAAATATGTTTTAGTTTCATCATCACCTTACAATTATCATCCAGAATTTTGTAAAACCGTCAAATTTATTTCACCTTGCGCCAAATTGTTTTTGACTAATGAGTGCGTCCCAATTAATTTGCACCTTACAACACACGGTGTATGAAATTTTAAATACTTTTGGCTCACATTTGGCCTATTCGGCGATTTATTATAGCAAGGACAACCATATGTACAAGCGCTTATAAAAGAATAAATATTTTATCAAAATTTAATTTGTTATAAACAACTATACAGTGTTTCATCCATTTAGGTTTAAAAGTACTTGGTATCTGTTTAGTACACTAACATGTTATTCTTCCGGATCGAGGTTTACCCGACGTATGGAGGCCTTTAATTCGTCCATTTGAAATTCTTTGATATCCGCTATTGACTAGTGCTTCTTTATAACTTCCTTTTGTGAAACCACTAGGATCGCGACGAAACGCTGAATCAGCTAGAATATCTAATCTTCCATCTGTTTCACCTAAAAGACAATGTGATATTTCTGAATTTTGTGCCCAGACGTTGGTTCCATCCGTTCCAGTCTGTTTTCTTTTCATTTTTAGAACTAGGCATTTGTACCGAACAGCCAAAATTATTGTACTTGTAAGGAAAAGGACGACGATTAGCCCAGAACATACTACATGAATAAGAAATTTAAATGTAAAACACGAACCATGATGATTGAACTACTGTTGTAAAAAATTTACGTATTAGAGTTCATAGCAAAGATCTAACATTCAATAACTATATGTTGGTATTAAGCTTACTTACCTGCTGTAATACAGAATAAAAGTTTTGTTAGGCATATATGATCTTGTCTGAATTCAGCTTTTTGCTTCAAATCAAGAATCCATTTTGGCAATGGACCAAACCATTTATCGTCCGCAAAATTACACATATGTGGGTACGAATCATCATCGGAATTTGTCACGCTACTACTGTCCACTTCGGATTTACATACAAGTAGGTTAGCATGAGTTAAGCAACTTTTCACTGCAGATGATTCGGCTAGATGTAACTGAAAAAAGAAAGGGTTAAAAAGTTACTCAAACTCTTCAAATCATTATGCAATTGAAATATATGTAACAAATATGGTTGCTGTTATACAGACCAGGTAGCTGCTTATATTCCACAAAAAATTCACCACACATTCTTCATAAATTTCGTTTGTGATAATAATCTTGATTGAAGAGATGTACCAATAAATTTCTCGACATTATAGAACAAAACTGTCCTAGGAAAGTATGTGTTTCTGAGAACGAGATCGATACATTTCGGAAGCTTCGTGCAAACAAATGTCAATTCAAATGACAGTAAAAGCATTCCGGAAAATTCTTTCATAATCAGTATGATCACCCTGTGGTGATCCAGTTTTAGTGGTTAAATTGACTGAGATATTAGCTACAGTTTCGAAATTAAATGCAATTTAGTGACTAGGTTAAATCGCTGATTGTTTCAGTTTAGAAGAAATGACGGGAATCCTCTTGTGACAACCACAGAGGAATCAGTTTGAGTGATAATATGACTAAAAGACCAATCTTACTAATTATCCGACGCTTAATTAGGGATTGCGATGAATTAGCTCCAGAAAGCCAGACTGGTTTCAGACCAGCACGTAGGTATGTAGATCAGATATTCGTATTTTGCTAGCTTATCGTTGTTCTTGGCCATAAGAAAGCGTTTCATGGCGATGTCTGTTGATGAAATGCATAGAAACAATTACATTACCTTTGTATAGACTCTTTACTCAAACATAATTGGTCAAGTCAGAGCTTATATTGAACCGTCATCGGAATTGATGACTTCAAGTGATGTTTATTAGGGTTTTCCGCTTCATTCATTTTTATTTAACTTTGTTGTTGACATACCTTTAGAGATACTGCTCTTATCGTCTGATTTATCAGGAATCGACCTTCTACCAGGATATTTTCTTGTTCTTTTGGAATACATCGATGATAGTCCAGTTTGACTGTTTAAAACAATCCGAAAATATTTGGGATGCGTTTTCTCCATCAAAATACAAAATGTTGACACAGAACCTGCATCGACCTTTGAATTAATTATAGGGAGTGAAGTAAAATGTGTATTCTGCTTAATTTTGGAAGCTGATTGTTTGTCGAAATCTAGACGCGAACTTAGCACACCCGGTCCGCCATTACCAACCTACATTTCCTTTAGTGTGAACAAGATTTCCGTCTCGCATCCAGAGGACAACTATACCGCGCAGCACTCTGCTTTTTCTAATTCATAGTCGTTAAGAAAAATGGATATTCGTAAGTCCCCAGTATACAAACACATGTGCATGTTGGAACCACTGAATGCCCCAGTGCTGAGCTTAGCAATGGAGTACTAGGTAGGCATGGCGAATCGACTGGTGATGTAGGGAATTTTCATCGGATAAAGTGGTTGAAATCTGTACTAAGTACGTCTAACCATTGCTTACCTCGATGTGCGATGATGGTGTAAGAGCAAGTTGTAAAAAGGTTAGGAGGCTAAATAGAAATGTAGTATCAGTTCGTAAATTCAGTAACAATTGTGCTAAGCTGCACTGGTTTACCAATGGCTGGAGATGGGAAACATACATTGGGAGTTCCGTTGTTAAAATCAATTATGAAGGAGTGAAAACGGATTATAATAAGAATAACATTATAAGTCTTGAGGTAATGAAAAAGTGCTGAATTCACTACGCATGAGAATATTCTTAATATTAGTTAAGAGAAAACAAGATTATGATTTACCTGAGATCCCGGAACTTTTTCAATTGTCAGACACATTCTTTCGCCACTTTCGATATTAGGATAGTCCATTGTAGCTTCTAGAACATCTCCAAGGTAAAAGACGACACCGCTGTGAGTTTTATTCTCAGACGTTTTACTTATTGGTGAAATAACATCATCCGACTGTAATGTTTTGTAGAAATAACGCATGTCAGTAACTTTAGGAAGCAGGCTATTTAAGAAAGAGCACTTGTCAGCTGCCTGAACCCAGCTCTGGATTGTTACATTCCTGTACCATGTAAAGTTGACTCTTCTTCCATGTAATCCAACCCGTTCTATGCGATAACCTTCTGGTTGTTCAGTTCGCAGTAGGCTTTCAGTAAAGAGTAAATGAATTGAGTATATAACAATTAGTGATGCTTGTGTTATTTTCATCATGACACAAGTGATATACAGATATGAATCTGTGAAACTGAGACAAGAAAATGTTAATAAAACTATAACGAAATTGTTATGGCACAAATAAACATTAAAGAAAATTTGATTGGTTAGTTATAAGTATTCCATAATTATAAATTCGTATTTGCAAATTAAAATGCAGAATTATGTTAATTAGCATAAAACAAGCAAATGACAAACCTATTATTGTAGAGAACGCTAGTGAGTGACCACTATGTTGGTTTGACGAGCAAATAGTAAGTACGTATTTTATGCATCAGGGTTGAGATAGAACAACACAAAGATAATATTATACACGATAACTTACTTAACCAAATTTATTTATTTTGTCAGCAGAAAATAAGCACCAACAACAGTTTTACAGTTGTGATCTTTGATCACAAGAACTAGTTTAGATAAATGCACAAAACTTAAAATAACAGGTCAGTCATCGATGTAATAGATTGACAAAACGTTTCCGAGAAATCCTCAAGTCAGTTACTTTGAGATTAGTTCAGCCAACATCACGATAAGTCAGAGTGAAAGTCAAATTGGAAATATTTTCTATGTATAATGCAGTGATCGTTGATGAAAAAGTGGAAAGATTTCTATATCATTCGAAAGGAACAAAAAAACTTTCATAGCTTTTCCGTAAAAACGACATTGACTTGAAATAACAACCAACCTATAACCTTACCATATTGGTAAAGAGAAAGCCTATTTCATTTATTTATTTATTTAAGCACTTAAACATTGGTAAAGATGGCACCAAATAAATCACTCGATTTGTATGAGGGCTGGCATACTGCATGGTTATCAAAACTAAAGTAGGTGGTCACTCTACGAAGGTCTAATCCACAAGGAAGTGGAGCAACGTGAGATGCAGTCCCATGGTAGCCGGTCATCAACACTGGGTTCATACTCCATTTGTTCCCTCACCATTGATTTAGAATCAGAATTGTCCAACTCCCCTAGGTGAGTTCACCGGATCCACCAACCCGGTTAAAGCGCTGGAGATTTGCTTCTCGTCCTCTCAGTCTTCTAAACAACTGTAATGTAGCGAGAAGGCAGTGAGTAGAACTTCCCTGACAGCGGTTGTATACGCGCGATCATATGAAGGCGTTTCTGCGGGAGAACTGACTCTTCACTCCTGGGGCATTTGGGGGGCCAAAACAACTATGCCAGGTTCTATGACAATCATTATTGAGAATAGCATTAACAGCTATTTACAAAACGTAGAAATTATCTGTACATAGAAAAATCTACATACAGATAGTTAATGCATGTACCGAAAACCAAACAAATAACAAATAGGTTTATCTCCTCAGCTTTAGGCACCCCTGAGCGTGAGAGTGATAATTTCTGGTGACCCGAATAGAATTAAAGGGTATCATTATAATGACAATTGAAATGTTAACACAGAATCATGGCAATTATTTATAAATGCAGCATGTACCCTAGTCTTACTTGAAAATCCTGTAACATGAACATACAACCTCGATATTTCCAATTCTCGATTTACCATTTATTTGGCAATGATAAAATGTAGCACCACAGTATTTACCACTTCATGGGATTACGCTTGTCAATTTGTATGAGGTGTGAAAATCATTATGTTCAGAGAACTTGAATGTTATTACCTTGAGAATCACTGTTACACTCCTTTGAAAATGTGTGTTTGTATTTTGGCTATAATCAATGAACAGGATCCCTAGAACGATTTCATACTTCAATTCTGAACGAAGGAAGGAGGTAGATATATTTTCTGATCAGGCAATAATAATAGCAGATCAACCATTTTAAAAATTAACTTTCCGCACAAATGTCTTTTTTTATATCTAAATTGAATACAAATGATTTTTCCAATAAATATTGTTTAACGTCAAAACTCAGAAGGGAGTTTTGATTACACTACACACACCTTTGATCCTTATATATTAATTTTGAACTTATCATATTTAGAATCTGGTTCTCTTTGTTGAAAAGTGCCTAGGGGTAATAATTTTGAAGCACCATCAATATGCTCCCGAAAAATACGAGTATTGCAAAAGCATTTTCTGCATTCATGATACACAGACCTATTGAATATTTACACGGTGACTAATACTAAGTAAGAATCGATAATTTGGTCGGTTAGATAAATAGCAGGTTAAACAGTGAGTCAATGTCATAAAACTACTGAAAACGAGCAAGAATAATTGGGATGTTTTTTTCTTGAGTAATGGTCAAAATTAACTCAGTCTAGCACAAATATGTATTGGCCCAAGCTGTTATGAAATTAATGGAAGTATTAACTAACGTATTATCAATTACAGGTAGTCTTTACCTACTAATACTCAGTCTATGATTACATACACTAATGCGAATCTTGGATTCTCTACTTAATTTTTTTCTAACAGATCCCTACTCTAGACGTTAGGCACCGTAGTGGGTGGTAGTTTGGAATACGCAACATACTTCCCACCCGCTTCAGTCACATCAACCGATTTGCCATGTTATCTAGGACCATAAATTGCATCTCTGCATTCCTTCACTATACGCGAGCAATGCATCGGAGTCAAGAGAGTTCCCCAAATTCTTGTTGCAATCTTGATAGACACTAGCTCATCCAGGTTAATAAAAATTCCAAGATAAGAGATGTGGTCAACACAATAACAACTTTGACCGTTATCTCGAAGTACACGCAGACCACTCTTCAAACAAGTTTGTATTTAGAGGGAGAGCAGCAACATCCCAAATAAGCTTTATACAGTGGTTCAAGATAACAAGACAGTATTTGGTCAGCATCTTCATCGAACAGAACTGTTATTTGGGTATTCTGAGACAGTAAAATGAACTTATAGAGGATCGTCTAACGTACTCAAGTAAAATGAAGTAGGTGTCCTTGAATAACAGCGGCAGATGACAATAATCATGAAAGTTGCTCATAAATTTCTACACAGAATGTTTACGCATTTCGAGATCCACTATGTGATGACAAGCACTGCCATGAGACCCCTCGATCGACTGAGTCAGTCGTATTTAGCATTGTGAATAAAAGATACATGTTTCGCTAAACACCACACTCCAATATATATATATAACACTAAAATTCTGAGTGAAAAATCCATTTAACTATCATACACTGATATTCCGTTAAGCTGCAATTGATCTTAATTCAAACCAAATTTCATTGAGAAAAATATTTATGTTCAGAAGCATCAAACACCGCCTGGAGTCTCTCCGGGGGCTACTACCGGTCCCAAGCCCGGATAAAGGAGGAGGGTTAGGCACGGGGTTAGCGTCCCCATCCCGTAGAAAACTAACTCGCTGAAAACGCTAACCAGAAAAAATTATTCAAACCTTTTAAACTCTGCTCTGGGAATCAGGTCTTCATTTAGAAGAACTATGACGCCTCATGATGAAAGCCGAATCCCTTCGGAAGTTACGAGGCCGATGCCCCTTCTGACAACCAGAGCGACCATTTATTTAGGTACATGGAATGTTCGTACAATGTGGGACACCGGAAGAGCCTTCCAAATTGCTGCAGAAATGAGAAGATACAACCTAGAGGTACTTGGGATCAGTGAAACACATTGGACAACAACGACTAACTACAGGAGAGCTCCTGTTATACTCCGGCCATGAAGAAGAAAATGCACCACATATACAGGGAGTTGCATTGATGCTGTCCAAACAAGCGCAAAAATGCGCTTATAGGATCGGAATCTCATGGACCAAGGACCATCAAAGCCTCGTTCAAAACAAAGAAAGAGGGTATTTCAATGAACATCATCCAATGCTATGAGCCTACCAACGACTACAATGAAGAAGCTAAAGATCAATTCTACAATAGGCTGCAGTTAATCATCGAGAAGTACCCAGGAAAGGACCTGACCATTCTGATGGGAGATTTCAATGCCAAGGTTGGAACGGACAACACTGGATATGAAGACATCATGGGACGACACGAACTGGGAGAAAGGAACGAAAATGGTGTGGGATTTGCAAACCTATGTGCCTTAAATAAACTGGTCATTGGCGGCACCATGTTCCCACATAAACGCATATACAAAACTGTTGGGGACGATAGATCCCCAGACTCATATGTTTTAAATTGTGCTTGCTCGCTCGCTTCTGGCTGTTGCAGAATATATATTCCATACCAAGCCTGGACTTCTAGATAGCGGGGCTGGGACGCGTCAATAGTTAGGTCACTGAGTATTGTTCTCGTTCGCAGTTTAAGTGAACTCGTGAAGTTTCAAAGATAACAAAAACCACATGGACTTCACCGGATCACACTACACAAAACCAAATCGACTATATTTGCATCAACAAAACGTTCAGGAGGATTATAGAGGACGTGAGAACCAAGAGAGGAGCTGATATAGCATCAGATCATCACTTACTGGTCGCCAAGATGAAATTGAAACTCAAGAAGCACTGGACAACGGGGCAGACAGTATCACAAAAGTTTAATACGGCCTTTCTCCAGGATACTAACAAACTCAACAAATTCAAGATAGTCCTCAGCAACAAGTACCAGGCCTTTCATGATCTACTCAATGGAGAAGGAACTACTGTGGAGAGCAACTGGAAGGGGATCAAAGAGGCAATCACTTCAACATGTCATGAGGTCCTGGGTCACAAGAAGCACCATCACAAGGAATGGATCACTGTTGGTACACTGGATAAGATTCAAGAAAGAAGAAACAAGAAGGCAGCGATCAATACCAGCCGAACAAGAGCCGAAAAAGCCAAGCCACAAGCTGAATACACGGAAATAAACAAACAAGTGAAGAGGAGCATTAGAACCGACAAACGTAAATATGTGGAAGATTTAGCAACGACGGCAGAAAAGGCTGCAAGTGAAGGAAACATGAGACAATTGTATGACACGACAAAGAAACTCTCTGGAAATCGCCACAAACCAGAACGACCAGTGAAAAGCAAGGAAGGCAAGGTAATCACCCACATTGAAGAGCAAAAATACAAGTGGGTAGAACACTTCAAAGAACTCT